TACCAATGAATATAAATATCTGATGGGGGGAGGTGGGGGGACTAAAGAAGACAGAGCCAGACTCCTCTCAGTGGTGTCCAGTGACATAACAAGAGGCAGTGGGCACTAACTGAAACACAAGGAATTCCATCTAAATATAACAAAATACTTCTCTACTGTGTGAATATTGAGCACTGGCACAGGCTGCCCAGAGGCTGTGGCGTCTCTGTTCTTGGAGGTACTTAGAATCTAGCTGGATGAGATCCTGGGTAACCTGCTCTAGCTGATCCTGCTTTGAGTAAGGAGGTTAGACTAGATAATCTTCAGACATACCTTCCAACTTTAACCATTATGTGATTCTATCAAGCTCATGAAGGTGAAATAATAGTTCAGTTTGTTTAGTGGGCTAAGTGCATTAGTTCTCTTGAAGATTTTCAAACTCCTAATTTTGAGGGAACAAAATAAGTAACACTGAGGAAGATTACTCCAAACTGGGAAAACAGGAGCAAGGGACATGCCTGTTAGATAACCTCAAAGTAGCAGCACTTGGAAGCTGGTATACATGGACTGAACTTCTCCTAGCTAGACCATGTGAGAGGATTAAGGGGATAGAGGAGAGTACTGCAGTAAACTACAGCAGTGCACAAGGAAAACCAAGGAGTTTGGATTGAACTGTGAAGCTTTTGCTCATATTAATATAGGTTTATTTTACCATGTATGTACCTGAATCCTTCAGGTCTGTGTATAAGTCATTCCCCTACATGGTCTGTGTAACAAACTTACATTGTCATTTAATAGAGGTTTGAGTTTTATTTCACCTCTTTACTTTGGCAGAAGGTGTATACATACTGACCATACACCAGAGCTGCAGTTATCCCTGGTCCAAGCTTAGCTCTAGCGAGTGTGATGGGTTTACCCTTGGCTGAGAGCCAACCCCACACAACCCGTTCGCTCACCCTCACCCCTCCCGAGGATGGGGGAGAGAATTAAAGGTGTAAAGGGAAAATAGGACTCACGGGTTGACATAAGAACAATTTAATAATTAAACTACAATAATATTGAAAATAATACAAATGTACAAATGAATGATACACAGTGATACTCTCACCACCCAATGCACCAAGGCTCAGTATATTCCCAGCTAACAATGCTATGGCAGGGAGAGTCCTGAAACTGCATTCACGGAACAGAGATAACAGTCTGAGTGTCCCAGACCGAGAACTGACTGAGGAGGGGAGAAGGCATTGGGAGAGTGACCACCTGGAGTGAGATGACCCAGAGCAAAAGGGATCTGGAAAGAGGAGCTTCCTGAGCCCCCTCACCTATATACTGGGCATGACGGTTATGTTATGGAATAGACTATTGGCTATTTTGGGGCTCAACCCTAAACCTAAGATCAAATACTAGGCTCATAACTGGGGCTGTGCTCCCTCCCAGCTTCTCCTGCCTGTGGACAGCAGAGAAGCTGAAAGACCTTGGCAGCAGGGGTAAACATCACTGTTATCAGCTTTCCTCTGAGCACAAATCCAAAACACAACCTCTTGCTAGCTATTATGAAGAAAGTTAACTCTGTCTCAGCTTAATGCAGGACAGTGAGGGAGCCACTTCTCCCTCACTTGCTTCATCACAGTCCTTTCTGTGTCACCATTTCCCCAACCCCACGTGCAGAAAGAGAAATGCTCCCTGACAGAGAAGTTAAAAGACTAAGAGTTGGATATGCCACTGCAAGAGAGTCTGCCTTGAGGAAAGAGCTCGTCAGGGATAAAATAGTGGGACAGATATTGTGGAGCACCCTCACCATTCTCCTGACCCAACCTGCAGCTTCATTGCAGAAGGGACAGGCTCAATTCTGAGCTCAAACACAGCTGAAATTTTAAACCAAAAGTCTGACTGTGCAAACAACCTCAGCTTCTAAAAGCAAGTACGTATATTCTTGTTAGTCCTTCAGAGCTTCTGAGAGGCAGTGGGCAAAACCACATGTAGTAGTATACCACAACACAGACAAAGCTGAGTGGTAAGGATGAAACATAAAGGATTGCATTCAGACACATTTTTATTGGTGGTCTGTAATGTGTTTTTTAGCCAAGACTGTAACACAATTAGAAGCACAAGGTTTGTTCTTGTTTCCTTGCATTTCCCTTAGCAGTAGTTAACATGCTATAGCTAATCAGGCTGTACATCAGTGCCAGGATTTACCCTGAAGTGGCAAAGGTAGTTAAAAAACAGGTCTTGAAAAGCAGAGTGCATACCATTTCTGGATGTCTCTGCACAGGCAGAGTGGTAAATGACTGCTGCTGTTAAATGAACATGCACAGCTATATACAAAAATGACAAAAAAGGTACTCAAGGAGAACCAGCAAATGCCTTATGGTCAAAGGGAACAAGAGCCAGTGAAGATGATAACTGTAGTCAAAGGTTTTTGGAAGCAGATTCTACCTTGGTGTTTTATCTATGTCATACTTCACCAAACTTTGCTTAGACTTTAGAAAGAGCTAAGAACCACACAGAAAAAAAAAAAAAAACCAAAACCAAAAACCAGTGATCTTCAAGATGTGAGAGGTCCCAGATCCCCACAGATAGCGATGGGTTTACCTAGCAGGAGGTCACCAGGACAGCAGCCTTATCATTTCCCCTTCCCCTCTCTGTTTCAGTCACCTCTCAACAAGACATTTCCTGCTCTTTGCCCCTTTGCACTCCTACTCCTGTCAAGTTGTAACATCATTCATCTTCTGCAGAGCCACTTCTCCCTCACTTAAATTTCTGGCAGCTAGTTAAACTCAGTGCTGTTGCACTGACCCAAAGGTGACTACAGGATCTTAAGCCAAATAAGTATCTTATCCTGCATATAAAATTTCAAGTTCAGTTTTGAAAATAAACAGAATCCTTCTATGGGAGATACTCCACTAGGATCAACCCCAGTTCAAATCTTTTTATTGAAGTAATATTACTACAAATCAAATATGCAGTGCCTCTGCAATTGTGCCCTTAATTAAAGACTTGAAAATGAAATGGATTTCTAATTTGAAACATTCTTCCATTTCTTGGAAGTCCAAAGAAGTTAGTATGGAATGGGTCATCACCAGCTTCACTAGTATCCATTTAAAAGTGAGTGTCTACCATTTGTCCTTAAGTGAACTTTTTACAGCTTTATTTAGATACACCTTCCACATAACAAGACAATGTAATTTTCCTGCAAAATTAGATGTTCTTAAGTTAATAGCAGTGAGACAGAGCAAGTGAGCAATTCGAGGAGGGCAGGGCAGTGGCATGCAAGAAAAGGCCAAGGCTGGATACACAAATCAGGATTATCTAATCCACCTTTTGCAACTGTGACAAATGTCCTTTTAATCACAATATGCTCTTTCTCAGAAAAGGGCAATGCCATCAACAGAGCTGATTTTGTCATACAGAATGTGTGCAGAATTAGGTCTCCAAGAAGCCATTCGCACAGCTGTCAACGTAGCCTCAAGTTGTGTTTTAAAAATGCAACTGCCCCCCCCTTCTGGCCAGTAAGGCCTCCCAAAAGTGGTTTTGCAAGACATTTCAGGCTAATTTTCAAATGCAGTTTAGTTTCTAAAAGTTAATTAGGCTTGGTTTAGGATCTAAACTCTCAGTCAAGGCACAGAACTTCCATTAAGTTTCAAAACAGTTCTACACTTATTTAGACAAAGTGAAGATTTTTCTTTGCCTATGTAATGCCATATTCTGGGCTAAATATGTTCACCCATCAATTACTCAAGATAACGGGACACTTGTCATAACTTTCATGGAAAAAACTCGGGCTCTTATTTGGTGTCTCAGGACCAGGCTTCCCATAAGCTTCCAGACCTGCAAGAGCTTACTTGGTCAGGAGCGGTGCCAGCTCGGGCCACTGGAAGTGACACAGTGACATCTGTGCCATGTCCTGCCACAGCAGGGGAAATGCTGTTAGACCCAAACCAGGCTGCCTTAGGTGGTCAGTCACCTGGCGGGTTAGCCCTCCATCTAGATGATCAACTCAGAGATAACAGTGACATAATGATGCCAATGCTTCAATTTATAGCTTGGAAGGAAGACTACTTAAGGAAGGGTAGTTGCTGGCATACAAACATTTTAATGACTGCTTTTTAAAAGACATTTCAAAACAAATCTCACAAAATACAGTTACCTGTTTATATGCCATCTGGATAACAGCATTCAGTAAGAGGGCAAGAAGCAGAGAATGAGAAGCAACACAACACTTCTGTACAAATCAGGTCCTTTCAATCCAGAAGAATGTGTAATTTAGGAAAGAAAATTCTGGGTTTCCTTCTCTCTTTCTGGTTAGTGGAAAATTTTTTTCAGTGTAGTTTCTATATCCTTTTCCTGATGCTGAAATGCTAAATTGCAATAATAAAGTGTTTTTTTTTTTCTACATAATTACTCCTAACTGATACAGTAATAAAGACAGAAAATGTCTCCACGAGCAATATCACACTTTAGTGAAGTCTCAATGAAAATTCACGGCAGAAATTAAAACTTAAACAACATTGAAAGACACCACTCACATGTGCTGTGCACATATTTCATATCATAGAATCATAGAATGGTTTGGGTTGGAAGGGACGTTAAAGATAATCTAATTTCAACCCCCCTGTCATGGGCAGGGACACCTCCCACTATCAATAGCTTTCTGTTTTTCAAAAGGAATGCTAGCAAACAGGAGAAATGTTACTATTTTTTTTTAAAAAAGAGCATAATTCTGTGCTACAAAATTTGATATCAATGAACAAATTACCTGTATGGTTTTGTACTCACCATTAACACATTGAGAAGTAGGTGAACTAAATTGCTTAAATGGCTAATCTTAGGTTTAAATCAAAATGATGGCTACTCTTGTGAATTTAATAGATCTGCAGAGCCAGGCAGTTGTCTGATATGTGGTCCTTAGCATACCTATATAGTTAATATTAGTCTGTCCTGTGAAGTTCTCCTCTCTGTAATTGCTACAATTCTTCTACATAAAAAATTAAATAACAAAAAGTATGAAAGTGTCAAAATACCTGATTAATTATTTGTTGTTGCAATTTTTCTCCAGACTCTGAAAGAGAAAGAAAATAATTAGTTTGTACATATATGAATATATATGAATATGATCGTGTACATACAGAACACAAACCAGGGGATCCAGCAACAAAATAATCAAACCTTATAATTAAGAAATAGAATTTAACATGTACAACTGACTAGAAACTTCAAAGTGGAATTTCACCTAAAGTAGAAGAAACACAAGCCCCTCTTAATCAAGATGTGATAAAAAGAAGATTGAGTTAGGTAGCCAACCTTGTTAACCTGATACCCCACAAGAAATTGCAACATTCAAAGTGCAGACAACAAATTTCAAATGTGTGCTATGAAGCAACTTAATTAAAGTTGTGAGATGCACTGCTGCACATATATGTGCCTGACAAACTGGTAGCATCCAGCTCAGGATTTTTCTCCTCATTGGAAGACAAAAGCAGCTTCTGCCTTTACCCTAAAATAAAATTATGTGCCTGTGTCAAGACTGAGGTTAGGCACCAGCTGGCTCAAGGGAGAAATTCTATCCTGATAACATCCACAAAGTGGCAAATTGAATTATTGTCTTGCTTCCTTATTCTGGCCTTCTGCAGTGTCCTTCAGTGTGCTCCTGAAGACATGATCAAAGCCTAGACAGAACATGGCTGTTCTACAGCTGCCTGGGACCCTAACAGCAATGACACCTCAAACCTGTTCTTTTCTTTTAGATCAAAGGGGACAGTAATTTTGCCTCATTTGCTGTTCCCATGCACTAGCTGCCAAAAGGGCAGCTGGTATCAATTACCCTCCCTTTGCTTCTGGAGACCGTCCACATGTACTGGGGAAAGTCAGGAATTTGACACTTACCTATCCAGATAGGCTACATGTTCCCATCAGAGGAGTGATGGGACACTGTTTACAACCTGTCAGTATCACTATTAACTGTCAGGGGAGCCTGTTTCTGCCCAGCATGGGTGGCTGCCTCCTCCAGCACTGGAAATAGTCTCAGTTTCAACAGGATTTCTTCATACTGATGTGTGTGTCATGAGACAGAATTTTTAAAATGAGGTGAAAATATTGTAAGTGTTAAAATACAGTATAAGGACTCTGTTTATTAAAGGAAAATGATCTTCCCTACTTGTCCCTGAGAATACTCCTCAAGAAAAGCGTTATAGATAATTCAGATAAAGATAATAACTTTAGGCTATATTATAAGATTGTCTTTTATGATAACTATTTCCTGCATGCTTGCATTGTGTTTTTATTTGCTAAATATAAAAATTATGGCTTTTTGTCAAAAAAAAAAAAAACAAACCAAACCAACTATCATTTAGGGGAGACTTCTCAAAATGCATTCCTTTGTTCACTGAGTTCATCTTGGCAGAAACAGAATTTATTCTTGTAACTAATATTTTAACCAAATAGATTGTTGGTAATAGAAGATTAAAAGAGTATGTGTTTTTAGCATTCTCTAATGATATACAAGTTGCTAGGAAAGCAGAGTGTTTGAAATCTCTCGTTAGATCAACACTATTTTGCTCAAAGGTTTGTGGACTTTGAATACTGATGCTTTCCTGTTTCCCAGTACATTTGTTTTTAGGCTATTTTGATTCACTTTAAAGGAATTTTAATAACTTTCTGTTGACAGCATGGACAGCTGGTCTTGAGAATTAGTGAAAATTCACTTGCTGACTGAGGAAGGAAGTGACATCAATGAGTTTCTAAAGTCAGCCCAGGGGGAAAAGTGTGCTCTGCCAGAGTAGCCTTTCATGCCATTGTATTTCCAGTGATGCCTCGAGATGCAAATTGCATTATCAATCAAACTTGTGGTTTCTACCTCAGACAAATATAAAAATGAACAGAAAGACTGGGAAATACCTTTGTGGTCATCCCTGGCACGCCTAAGGAAAAGGTGAAGAAGAATTTATGGTAGTTCTTTCCTCGTTCACTCTTTCTTTTGGTGATTTCAATACTACAGTATCAAAGAAAAGGCAGTTGAAGAAGTCTCTGCATGATATACCAGTAATGATGACATGGGTTAAACAGGACAGAGATTGACTAGGCTGTAAAGGATAGGAGAGAGATCAAATTCAAGGCCACCAGCAAACTGAATACTGTGTTCTCCATTTATTCGATAGATGATCCTTGTCCTCATCACAGATAAACTACATGAATTTGGCATAGTCAGCAGTTGTGCCCAGAAGAGGCCAAGGTCTGTAATAACAGGGATGCTGCAAATCAGGGTGGAAATACATTGGCACCATTATATGGGGAAGCCTGCAAAGTCCTGATGTGTACTGTACTTTTGTTTTAAGGAGAAAAGCTACAAAAAAGCAGGGAGGAAACATAAACACATGAAACAACATTTTTTTTCTTAGCCTGAATAGAATGGTCTCTTATTTCCCTCTTCCTTACTGCTATTAGATCATAAGTTAAAAAGACACATTAAACTATTCTATGTCCTTCCAGAATTCATCTTAAAAAAATAAACTGTTTTAGAAGGCACAAGAATGTTACACCATGACAGTGCTGAAAGGGAGTTCGGTTTCCAGTAATAGAAGGTTTTGTCATTGAAAGTAACCAGAATTTTGCTTGTCCTGGTGTTTTGTTTTGTTTGGTTTTGTTTTGTTTTGTTTTTGTCTGCTTGTTTTTTTTTTTAAAACCCCAGAATTCTCTTACAGTGACTGGTCACTAACCTGGTTTTTATTTATGGCACCCTCAGTTTCAAGAGGATATTTCTGTTTAGGTGCCTTGTCATCACTTGTGACCATCAGCGTTCACTAGACAGATTTGAGAAGCACCATTAGAGAGAGCGCTCCAGAATTAAAGGACATGAGGCAATGAAACACTGATGAAACCAGAACTGTCAGAACATGTCAGCCACTCCCACAGTCAACACCCGTGTTAGTCTCAGGAACTGCAGGTAATTCTTGAGACTTGCCAGAAGTTTCATTACTGGTAGACCTACACATGCTAAATTCAAAATTTATGACAGTTTTTCTAGAGCCAGTGCAATGAGGCAGCAGCTTGTGCAAGATGAATGGATGCATGAACACCAAACTAACTGGGAAATTTACAGCCATCTGGAAATTTATATGGAAGCTGCCCAGCAGGTATCTGGTAGATGTAGTCCAAGAAATGTATCTTCTGCAACTCAGACTGAATGTGAATGGCTTGTCCTTCTCCTGTATTTCTCCCTAAACTTATTTTTTTCTACCTGTCATCTGGCATACTGTTCCTACGTGGGCTCAATAGTGCCATCTGAGCAGCTTTGACAATGCAAGCAAATCATAAGGCCTTAAGAATAGACAGCTACACTTCATGGATACTTTGAGTCAGAAGATGTATTTACCAGTACAAACAGCGCTTCTTACTTGTTGAAGCTCTGCTCTCCTGCCGCTCTAACTGAGGCTAAACTGGTGCAACTGATGCAAAACCATCACTGGAATCAAGGACTGGACAAACACACCTCCCCCAATTAATTTTTAGTGATTTTCTTTTGCCTCTCTAGTTGCAAAAAGTGTAAAGCAATACCTTTATGTGGTTTTGGATGGTTGAGATAAATGGCCTTCTTGGGTTGACCTCAAGCTATAACACTTTAGAAAAAAAATTACAGCAAACATTCTTTAAAAGATTTCTCTGTATTTTCATACACTAATTAGTATACTAATTCCTGTTTCCAGGGCAAGTTGAGTTTTTCGGGTTTTTTTTTTTTTCCTTGCTTGTTCTTATTATAAGGAAAATTACCTTACTGAGTGGAACAATGTATGTTTTCTAACTGACCACTGCAAGACACAAGAGCGTGCCATAATTGATGCTGTCACGAGGAACTGCAACACCGACTCCCCAGCCTTACGCACACAACCTACACAGAGAACAACACGTAATTATGCACACTATGCCCTGCTTACCTCCATACAAAGGAATGTGATATTTGTGCAGGTTTACAGATTAATCTGCTGTAATTCCTTTTAATGTTAAATTACTTCCAGCTCAAATATAATTAAGATCACCAGGTACAAAAGATTCAGATTGGAAATATGAGTACACTCTAACAGAACAAATAACAGCTTGATGTTGTTTCTTATGTTCAAATAGTTTGGATACATTAAGGATTTTGACAGCATGTTTGTTCCCTAAGTATGTAGCAGAAGAAAAAAAGGTTTCATTTCAAAAGGCAAAAGACTACTAGTGTATTTAATTAGAGTGTAAAATCCCTTAAATACACAGATCTGCCAATTTATGTGACGTGACTACTACAAGTCCTAGCTAGAAAGGATTTTTTTCTTTTTTTTTTCTCCCCCAAATCAAATCCCAATTTATACTTTAAGCAACCATCATCAACATCAATGAAATGAAGGCTTTGGAATAAAAAGTTTGTTTCCTTATGTCTTCGGATAATCATATTTGTGGTATGGCAGCAAGGCAGGGGATGAACAGAAATTCTGGGTCTGTCTCCCTGTTCCCAAGTATCTGAAGGTTTCCAAGCAAATGGAAAAAAGTGGGGAGAAACCCAGGGGGCAAAGGGGACCCTCAGCCTTGCTCTGAAACAGCCATATTCACTGAACTGCAAGTGGGAACAGCAGTAGGGGGAAATCAGTTTTGAAGAGAGAATTTGATATTCTAATATCAGTTTAATTTTGTTTTTTTCCAATTCGTGACAGAAAAACTAATAGCTTTGGATTTTACTTTATTTTTAGAGACCTAAACAGACACATATGCGACCTATTTGGTTGTGATCCACCCCATTTTCAGTACTGGTTTCCTAATCTACCAGAGCAGATTCTGAGAAGTGAAAGGAAACCAAAGAACTCGTTCATTACAAACTTCTGCGGCAATTTCTCATGGCGCCAGAGCCTGAGGAAGAAACACTCAGATTTGTTTTTCAGACTTACAGTGTGACACTAATAGATTATCTTCTGTGAAAGCCTGTAACTCAGCACACAGATTAAAATATTTAGCACAGAACCATACATTTCCTATGAATTATTTGCAGAATCTCCAAGATCTGTAGGCAACGCAGCTCCTGCAGATATGCATAGC